AACTCGCGGCAGCCGTCCACCGAGTAGCCTCCCATGGCCGCCGCGTGGTTCTTCTGGCACTCTGCGTACCTGACGCTCCTCGCCGCAGCCGCCGAGCTTCTCGAGCTCTCTTCCGTCGATGTTCCCCTCAACACCACTTGACGCTTCCTCATCCTTGTTTTGATTCCTTCTCTCTCTCTCTCTCTCTCTCTCTAATTCTTATCGTCTGTGAAATGCGTGAGCAATAAAAAGGAACAAAATGTAATTTCTTTTTTGTTTTACTCTTTTTTTTTTGTGGTGGGAGATAGAGAAGTTGGGAGAAAGACTGGTTGTTATACTTGATCAGGAGCTCTACTTGCGAACCCTAACCCTAGGTGTGATACTTATAGAATCTTTTTTTTTAAAAAGAAATAATCTAAAGACGGCCTTATATCTTATTAGTTTATATTAATCCGAAATTGTATATAATTAACTTGTACGTCCATAGGCTTTATAATCATTTATAAATTGACGTAAGTGAGCAAATTTAGACAGCTATCGCGGACGATCTATTCGACCCTAATGACTTTTTAATTGATCGTATATCTTATCTCAATTAAATCCCACATATTTTTGGAATGTTTTCCTGCATCGTTATTTCACTTTTTAATTGATCGAATATCTTATCTCAATAAATTGATAGGTTTAAAAAGGAATGAAACAGCTAAGCTTTGTCTTCTTTTAAACCCTAATATATAAATGGTCCCTTAACCCCATTCCCTTAATTAGTGCCTTTAATTTGTCTTCCCTTCTTCCATAACCTTATAATTAATCCTCGCTCATCTCATTCTATATTCAACCTTAAACGTGTCAATTACGACGCCATTTGTTCAAATAGACCAATGGGTCTTAGCATATTTTTGTGTATTTATGTATACTTACCGAAGAATAAGCATTTTCATAAGCGACTAATCGTCCAAATGAAGATAAAACTCATATAATATAGTTAGGTAGGCTTAGATTTCCCTCAATTTATATTTTGCTTGTGGAAAATTAAGTTTAACGTTATCATCATTCAAGTAATAATTATTTTTAACCAAAAAAAAAAGTTTTTGCTGCGGGTGAGATTTAATAAATTTAAAATTATTCTTATTTGTCGGACTATCTATGGATAAGAAATCATGTCATGTATGTTAGAAGGGCTTTCCATATTCGTGAATAAATTTGATATAATTTTTGTGCACAGGACGAAGGCCACTAATCACTCCGACACATAAGGTTCCATCTTTCAAGTTTATTTTTTTTAGAACTAAGATCTTTTTATTTTTTAGATTCATTAAATATTAATTTAGTGAAATCCCGTATATAACCATATCGAAATTCAATTTTAAAATCCGGTTTTACTTGGTATAATGTTCTCCGTATCCAAATAAAAACTGATCCTATGCATTATCGTATACTCACCAAGCGATATATATGTCGTACCATTTTGATCAGTACCTGTCCGAATCGAATCTAATTGAAATAAGTGTTTAGTGTCCATGTCCCAAGACGAAATTCAATTTCAAAGCCCGGTCTTACGTGGTATAACGTTCTTCAAATTCAAATACAAAAAATGCTACGTGCTGCCTTGATTCCACCGAGTGACATGTGTATATTGCACCATATCGATCGATACAAAATATTGATCTGAGTCCAATCTAATCGCAATTAGTGTTTCGAGTTTATACCAGATTACGAAATTTTGTGACAAGGAGGACCGACATTGAATATTGACGAGTCATTAGAGATTGAATAGAACATAAAAAGACAAAACGAAGAGGGTTGTGTTTCGCAACAACCCAACCCTAATTCCCTAGTTCCCGTTAGTGGTGATGACGTGTAATCTTGTGATACGTTGAAAGTTTTCACACGTCGTTTCTAATTTTGCTTAGATAAGGAATCTCCGGTTTCTCTATCTATAATCAGTGGATATCTAATCTACTATTTTGTGTTTTCTGGTCATATGAATACATAATTATATATATATTAACGTGGCCAAAGATTGTGGGGAGAAATAATTTCGTGAAATTAAATTATAAATTAAAATGAAACGTTACAATTTGTTGATAACAGTGAGTTAGGAGAGCTTGTTGGGTAGACCGCGTTATAGTCAAAGTCAAAATTCAAGAATGCTCTTAAGAGTCACCGGCAAAAAAGGCATGAAAAAATATTTATTTATTTTTTTAAATTTAAAATGACGAAAGTTTAGTTACGGGCGAATTTACAGTAAAGGTACAACGCACTGTCCTTATTATAGTTTTTTTTTAACCATATAATAAGTTTTCACTACCATTCATTTAATTTTTTTTATATATATCAAATCATATATTTTCTTAGCCTGCAGACGCATTTATATTTTTCACCGTGTCGTTTATCTAACCGAAACAATAATTAGTAAAATTCTAGACGGGTGGACCAAAATTATTTACCGATTATATAATGGAATTGATATAAGAATATATAAATATACGGAATAAGCTAAACAAAGCGATAAGCAATGGCTAGTTGCAGTACGGATAAATCAGGGAAAAGTCCAAATAAAAAGAAGGAAACTTCAACCAACAAGTGAATCAATAGCATTGATTAATTATTTGCTTATTGAGAGGTGCACATTTAAAGCCCTGTCAATTTCTCTTGCCACTTCTATTTGCATGATTTCAATATTTGGACCACAAACACTCGTAATAACAACAACAACAATAATAATAATAAGGATAATTGTATAGCTTTCAAAATATGTAGCATATGATGATGATGATGTATAAGATATATACAGATATCTTTAAATGTTATATATCGTCATAGCAGGGAAGTCTCTTGTGCGAATTACAGTCCTGATAGATAAACAAATAAAAATGCATTAAATTTCAAAATTTTTGTCGGATAAATCGTACTAGAATATGGTGGTGATACGTAGTCTTATGTATATATGCACATGAGAGCGTGACGGATACATGGACCGTCAACAAAAGAAATTGTATTTTGTTTTCTCTTGGTCGTGAAGATATTGGCATAATAAGTGTCCCAATCAAAATGTAATGAAACCACATGGTTGTAATAAATTGAAGCAGGAAGAGATTGGGCTTCGTCGACCTCATGCATGAAGAGCACATGATTGTCTATTCCTTTCTAGCTGTTTGGCAAAAGATTTTAAGGGCCCAAAGCCAATATATATATATATATATATATATAATATGAGCTCGCCGACGATATACATGAATTGAATAGATGTATCGATCACATATACATACGTACGTACGTATGTATCCTGCGGTATTCATTTGTTTTCACCCATACCATGCTTCCACATTAAGATTTATTCCATATTCTACGTAACTGGAAGATAGAAATAAAAATGAAATGAATCGCCAATGGACCAAATTGAAGAGAGAATTAAAACAAAAGTTATATCAAAATGCTTACAGCTCTTGACCTGCATGGCTTTACAGCAAATAAAAATATACAGCATAACGTGTAACATTAAAATAGTTCACATGTATATTTCAGGAAGACCTGCATATTTCCAAAGCAATATATATATATACACACATATATAATGTAAAATTTCACATGAAGACCATGTATACGCATATATATGACAACGCATAAATACATGCAAAGAGAAATATATAAAAAAAAAGGCATAAATAACTGTTTCCGGAGCACTGAATACAGCAATTATTATCGCATACTTGATAAGAATATATAATTGGTCAGTCTTTTTTTTCCATATTGTTATACAGTTTCAGAAATTTATGATTAAAAAAATTATATGATTAGTGTTATCTATGTAAAATACCATAACTCGATATTAAAAATAAATATTGATTTAGATTAATAATGTTCATGAATACACACTCGTCCAATATGGATTTGAGAGGTGTGTGATGACGGCTCTTTTAATTCTTCATATTCGATTTGTTTTTACGCATAAAAAAAAAATCGTTTTGGAGAATATTTTCAAAACAAGTCTATGTATAAAATGTAATTAAATTCAGTCGTTGTTTATTTTATATTAATTGGTGTTTTAGAGTTCTAAACATTTTTATATAATTTATTAAGTAAAATATAGTTTTTTAATGTCGAATTCAATGGGAGCATTGACTTTGTTGGTTCTTCCATTGTTGCTTGCTTGCCACTTCATGACTGCCCCAAGTTCACCATCACAAAAAGTCAAAACTTCAATTCTTCATCACTTTCAATAAAATAATGTCAATCCTTCCTTTTTTTCTTTTATTTAATTTTATGTACCTTATCGCCCCCCATTTATTTTCTGCAATAAATTCCATTATTATTATTAAACTACGACGATATTAAGGCCATCTTTAATTAAATTTACTCTTGATTGAGTGGATTCATATATGATGCCGATGTGTAAATTGATCATTATTATATATATACGATCGATGTTTTTAAAGAATACATTTGTCATTACAACGATGAAAATGATAACAATAAAACAAGAAATAGGAATTTACAATAATGTATTCCTCTCCCTTAGCTTTCTCAATCCCGCTGTAAAAGAACCCCCACATCGGACGAAAAACAGTAAAATTATTGACGATTGAACCCAAAAGACGATCTAGCAGAGTTAATTTCAGAAACCAGAACCAAGAAAAGGAACCCTAATTTAAATTAGATCCGAGGTTGACCAAGCTCTCAGAAGAAATTAGGGTTTTCTTCAAACAGAATATCGCCGATCCCTCCACCAGAATCCTCAAACAGCCACTTCTCGAACAGAGACCACTGGCTTTGGATTGGTTTGGTTTCATCGGGCGAAACTGCAGACTGGTAAGGTTCCAGCCCTGGAAATGACTGAAATGCCCCTCTGCATTCGGCCCCGGCTTCGTTCTTGATCTCCTCTTTGGAGTCGAAATCGCTCGAAGCAATTTGGCTCGGAGCATTCTGGGTCTTGGTTGAGTTCTTGACCCACCCTTTGAGCAGCTTGGCAATGTTCTCGGTGCTCGAGGCGTATGTGCTTGATCTTTCTTGCGTACAAAGAAACCCGCTGGCTGAATTAGAGTGTTTAGATTCCGAGGAGGAAGAAGTGGCAGTAGCAACGGCAGAGATGGGTACGGCGGGGGACAAGGCCTCGTAGAGAGCCTTTCTCGCCGTGTGGATGTCGGTTTGAAGGCGCCTCTCCCATTGGCCTCTCGAGATGTTCGAATTTGAGTTAGCAGAGGAAGACGAAGGCGAAGAAGATGAGGAGAAACGGTCTTTATTGGACCGGTCGAGTTCTTGAGGAGTTTGTCGGATTTTGTTGAGCTTCTTCTTCAGATGGGTATTCCAATAGTTCTTGATGTCGTTGTCTGTTCTCTGTGGAAGATATGACGCTATCGCAGCCCATCTGCACACGCCCCGAAACAAGTGCAATTTAATTCCCTCTTCAATATATTTACCATGATATCGAATTGGCTCTTATTTTGCTATTTTGATTGGAAAATTTTTTTATATGTTGATAAGAAAAAATTGATCTTTTATATATTTACATATATATATATATATATATATACATATATATATATACATACCTGTTGCCTAGGAGGGCTTGGAGATGGATGATCATCTTTTCTTCATGTTGCGTGAAATTGCCTCTTTTGATCCCTGGCCTTAAATAGTTTGTCCATCTAAGCCTGCAACTTTTGCTGCATCTAAGTAACCCTGAAGAACAAAATCAAAGATCAGTTTCGAGAAAAAAGATCAAAATCAAGGATCCATCATTCACTGGATCTTGATCTTATATAGCTTCATCGATCCGAGACTATCCTTTTATAAATTTTAATAAGGAAACAAAAACCCTAATCTCAAAATCAGGGTTTGAAGCGATGAACTTCAATCTATATATACATTCTTGATCTAAGCTTGGCCAACGCAATACACTAAAATGTCTGTAATATCCAAATTCCCTGCTTTCTTTCTCTCTTTCATCGATCCATCAATCATAAATCGGATCACATGAACACAGATCAAGGGTCAAGAATCAAAGAATCGTTACCAGTGTTGACGGGAACAGCTCTCCAGTTGCCAGGACCATGTTCTTGAATGTAAGTGACCAAAATGATGTCTTCTTCAGGAGTCCACGGCCCTTTCTTCACTCCCCCTTTCTCACAACAAGGAGGCCTCACCATTTTCTCCCTTCGATCACTCAAAATAGAAGCGAAGATCAAAGAAGAAAACTTCCTTCGTGAAAATGGTTTCTTGACACTGCCCTTTGCTTGGACCTTTTGGATTAAGAAGATTGGCGACAAAGGTCTATTGACGAAGTGTTCGTCTTTATATACAGAAGAAAGAGAAACGAAATGCTGACCTCTTGGGTCTACGCATTAAATATTGCGCAATTAAAATGATAAAATTAGAGAGAAATTGTGTAAAGCATTAACTGCGAAAGGCGAAGGTATTGCCTCCAAAGTCAGCTGTGTGGCGAAAGGAAAAGTCTCTCTGCCCTCTACACAAAACCGCGTCGCATTCAATGTGGGCCTTGCTAGTTTTAAAACCCTAAAATGGGAAATTAAAATATATTTTTATAATTATAGTAATTATCATCGTAATAAATAGAGTAAAACGAAAATGATGAATATTAATTGGGACATCGTGTTCATCTCCCTTTTGATCTATTGCCGTATTTTTTTTTTATGGGAGTACTCGCTGTATAATGTATTCGTATATGCATGTATCATGTACGTATGGTCTGTGTTTCGGATTTGAACCAGTGGGTCGTGGCCTTGGTCATAATACATGGCATGTCTGCGTCATGCATGATGTTCGTCGACTTGGTTGTACATACATACATACGTACGGACATACATACATCATTCATTACACGGAATTTACGCGATTTTATTTTTCCGATTGTTTTGCGTAACAACGGTTGAGGATTGAGATTACTATCTTGAAAATATTTTTATGTTTGACTGTAAGGTACTTTTGAATTTTTAATTTTTTTTTAGGATAGTGGTTTTAAGGTGATTCTAAGATTTTATATTAAAGTTATTTTTCTTATATTAAAAGCAAATAAACCCCTTGATTATAGTATTCATGCACATTTTCTAAGAATATACCGGTAACAATTAACAACTATATATAAATTTTTTTAACAAAAAAAAACTATATATAAATTGGTACTAATTAATTCAATCGTTGTAATTTCATTATCAAATCTTTATTTATTTAAGTAGCAAAATGTATTGTTATGTTTCATGTGTGCTGTATATGTACTCAACCGACGATTCAAAAATTACTTTCTTTTCATTTTAATATATATATATATATATATATATATGCGTCTTAAATATTTTATAGATGGATAAATTTGGCAGAAGTGTTATGGCATCACTATATAGAAATGCTAAATTTCAGTTTCAAGAAGTATATGCACCATGAAATTTATCAAAAGCATAACGTTCTGCTCGTGTTAATAGCACACAACTATATATATAAATTCCAAAATATTCAGTTTGATGGTTTCATTCTTAACAACTTTTAAGAAGTTCTTTTTTTTTTTTGCCATATTCCCTGAATGGCGCCGCAGCTGAGTAGCACTTGGAGTTATAATACATACACTTGTCTATAATTATACATATATAGGCATACATTAATACATAGAAAAATAAATATAAATTACCATTAATTTGGGTTTCACGAGGTGAAATTCACGTCCATATAATTTCAGCTATAAAAGGAAGGAAAACAGACACGAGAATACTTTCTTCACTTTTGTCCATACATATATATATATATATATATATATATATATATATATGGTCCATAATTTGAAGGGCCATAAAAAAATGTGAAATGTCAGTGTTCAATATATTATCGATCTGTTATTTACTTTAACACTTTCACAAGGTATTATAGTGAAAGAACAATTCATTTATAGGATGAAATTTCCTAAGTGTAAAATCCTTGGAATATGTGTTGAATTATGGAGATGGCATATGAATATGCACCAAAACTACATAAACAATATTTCCATACATTGGTTGCGTGTTCAATCTTATTTGCATATATAAACATGCATGCATGTGTGATGTAGGGATGGTGCCTCTGATGTAGGGACGGGCCAATCAGATTTCTTGAGTATATGTTTGTTTTAATATAAAAGTAGGAAAATTAAAATGATTACAAGTGCATATATATAATAAGCTATTATATTCATATGAAATATTAAAATAATTATTCGTCAAGGAAGGGAAATAAAAGCACTGAAAAAGCGCACATGCAAGCGATACATGAGAACAAATGCAGAGCTCAGTCCATATTTAATAATATGACCATATATTAGAGAGAGAGAGAGAGGCGATTGGTACGATTTCTTAAGATAATCGAAACTGAGATTAATTTAAAACTTCGAACCGGTCGGTTATTTATTTTTTTTGGTTTTGTGCTGTGGAGTTGTTAAACATATGAGCATATAATTAACACATGTTTTTCTCATATTGTCCATAGCCATTATGATTTGCGTTAAGATTAAATGAATTTCATATACATTAATTATTACGAAATATACATGACGGATTTCAGCCAAATGTGAAGTATATGTTAAACTTCGTCAAACTCTTACATATATATAAATAAAATTAAATGCAAACTGTACAATAGCGTGTGTATATATATATATAATTAAATGCACGTGTACGGGCTTTTAACTCCGTGTGTGTGAGAGTGAGGGCCCAACTAAATTGGGCCACGTCAGTGAAACGTGGCCATATATCCAGTGACTTGGGCTAATACAAACAAGAGGGCCGGCCCAATACGTTCTGGTGTGCGCACGTGTGTTTTTATTAAAGGAACACGTGATATAAAATATCAGTCTTCTTAAAAACATTTGATGATAAATACTAATTTTGAAATTTTTAGTAATAAAATGTGAAATTTGCACGAGTAAAATTAAAACTGACTTACAAAAAATGAACTGTCCGCACACCACATTATACAAATTATGATAAAAATTATGGAGTTAATTATTTATAAAAAATAATTTCAACAAAATTCACAAATTACGTTTGTATAACTCTTTCTTAATATCTATGTTTTGCAAAAGTCTTGTAGGTGTATAAATTTTTTCTAGTGAAATTTCCTTTCTGAGGTAATTTCCAATAGAAATTCAATAATAATAATAATAATAATAATAATAATAATAATAATAATAATAATAATAATAATAATAGTAAAAATTTGGAAACGAAAAACACAACATGATTGAAAAAATGTCTATTTTAAATAATAGTCATTCTATATCCGCGCACGGACGGTTACACTTTGAAGATATTACGCATTTTTTTCCTTCTATTTCAAGTAAACACACGTTTTCATAGTCTTCCATTCACATCACATATTTTCTTCATTTTTTTATCGTAAGTCTTGCATTTATTTTAATCTTTTTTCAAAGTCAATTTTCTGAAAAAATACAATTATTATTTCCTACACTTTCCCTCTATTTACAAAAAGATATGATATTTGATTTAGGCGGAAAGTTTTTTTTTTTTGTATGTGTTTTTAGATAATATGTGAACTCAAGTATTTCATGATTATATATATATATAGAGAGAGACTTTAATGATGGAAAATATAATCATAAACTTAGACGCTTAATTCTTGCAACCGAATAGAGGAAAATAGTATTTGCTTGGAAAGTACTTTTTTTTTTCATTTTGTTAATAAAAAGAGCTTGTAATTTGGATATTTGAAATACACCAATGAAGCATCATTCATATATTAGATTTTTTTATTACGAATAACATTTTATGATACTTGGTCCTAAAAAATATAAGAATTGTTTTTTTTTCCATATATTTAAGAATAGCTTAAAAAATGTCCAGACAATTCGAAGGATGTCAATTAGCTAAACTGGGTACCATTTGATTGCCATAAAAACTGAAAAATTTATTCAAAAAATAGAAAATGTTACGGGGAACATCACAAATGCATAATGGGATTCCTTAGTTTAATCTTTTAATTACTGTGCATAATTCCTAACTTGGTCACAATGCATACTAATCAGATGTGTGTAAATTACAAGACTGTTCTATAACCAAAATTTAAATAAAATCCATCATAATTATTATAATAATAGAAAACTTTAGTCTAGGGCCGATTCTTTTGGAAAATGCATTAGTTAAAATCCCAAACAAAGGGTACGATTCAAAATAGCCAAAAGAAAAGAAAGAACGGGAAGGCTTTTTAAGTTCTTCTGTATATTTCAATGATCTTTTCACCTAATCCATAAAAATTTCTGATATTTTTATATTTATAAAATATTTATGGAATTTAAAACGATTTTACCACACTAATATCTTTCAAAACGATATTTGAACTTATAGTGGGCAATTTGACAAATTCAATAGAATATACGAATAGCATGTACATGTACATGGATGGATACGTTGCTCCAATAACTGCCCGGAGAAAACCATGGTTCAAAGCAACCCAAAGATTAGTTCAAAAGACCAATTAAAACCCTAAGTCGCTGACATGTTCTTTTCTTCCTTGAATTTCTCATAAGTTAGTTCCCACTTCATCATCTCCATTCATGCATCGTCTCCTTCGTTTTCACAAAACCCTAATTTCTTGATCTCTACCAAGAAATCAGGGTTTCAATGAAATATTCCCGATCGAGAAACCCATGGTTGGTCTGAAGAAGTTTCTGATGGAAACCCGGTTCTATTTACTGAATCTGATATCTGACCATGCCGGTTCCGCTCTGTTTCTTCTCTCTTTCATCAGACGAATCTTCTTTGTCTTCTTCTACTGTTTCAGGTACTCGTTTTCTTGTGGCATGGTCTCTTTTTCCTTTTTGTCTCCTTTACACTTAAATAAAGTATTTCTCCGAAAATGGAAACGCGTTTTCCCCGGTGTCGGCGGCTTCCGATGATTTGATTTATACATACACAGAGTTCCAAGAGACACGAGGGTTCACACCGACGCTTCGAAGAGTCTATCTTCTTCTCCATTGGATTCGGAAACAGAGGAACTGCAGAAATCCGACATGGTCGAGTTAGAAAATTCCGTAAACGATGATGATCAAGAAGAAGAAGAAGAAGAAGAATCTCCAAGGTTGGTCTTCAAATTTTCATATCAGACGGAAACATTCGAAAGGTTGAGCAGAGAGGGATACAGAGGCGGCGACGGAGACGGTCTGGCTTCCACGGCCGACAAGTATGAGACTTTTCCGGCGAAGAATCTCAGTTTTGTCGCGGAGGAACCAAAGTCGGCAGCTTTTTCTGTCGAAGAATCGTTCTCCGTCAATATCGCCGGTGAAGATAATGGTTTCTTGCAGGAAAAGTTAATTTGTGGAGACACAGAGGAGTCTGTTTCAGGAAATGACAGAACAGAAGACTCTGTTTCTGCAGACAAGAAGAATCCTGAAAAACTCGTAGAAGGAGAAAGTCTTGATTTTCCCGAGAAAATCCGATTCTTGGTAGAGAACGATTTTCTGGAAAGCACGGATTCAGATTCGGGTATGATGGATTCCAGTCAAACTTTCGCGAGTTACAGTGAAGGGTTTCTCTCAGATTCAGATTTCGACGAATATTTTGGTTCAGACACAACACCGGAGATGGATTCAAAGGAACAATCAGAATCTCGTAACAATGGTAAGAATCAAGAGGAGGATTCAGATTCAGAGGAAGATTCGAACGGGTTAGAGAGTTTATGGGAGCATCAGGATCTGATAGAGCAATTACAGATGGAGATGAAGAAGGTTAAAGCCTTTGGTCTTCCCACAATCCGGGAAGACGAAGACGAGTGTCCGAAGATAGTTGAAGATCTCAAGCCATGGAAGATCGAAGAGAAGAAATTCCGACATGTCGATACCATTGGCGAGCTTCATAAATTCTACAAGACTTACAAAGAACGTATGCGGAAATTCGACATCCTGAGTTATCAGAAGATGTATGCTCTTGGTAAGTTCCGAAATCAATCTGTTATTGTTCAATTCTTATTTATAACAAATAGAACCCTTAGAATTTGAATTTATATACGGTTTGTGAAAATGGGTATGAATTAATTAACTCGAACGAGTTCTTGTTGAAGTTTAAATTAGATCGGACCAATTTCACTGTTTTATAAGTTATGATCAAATGTTCCCATAAAATCTATTCATTAGTGGTTATAATTTGTTTCTCAATTGCATTAGGGTGATCAATACACAAAATCTAGATACGATCATCCATCTGATGTGCCTTTGTTTACTATTATTTTATGTTTTGTTATATATCTTATAAAAATATTCGGGCCATCTGTCCTTTTTAACCAAAGTTTTGATTATGATGCTTATATGAATTATATCTTTTAAAATCTTTTCTAAATTACCATTTGGTGCCGCTTTTTCAACATACGTTTAGGTTAATTACTTGTTTAAGAATATCTGTGTTATTCATAGTTTTATATTTAACATCATCCATATTCATTAGGTGATTACTTACACATTATGTAAGTGCTATATGACTTGCTATGCTCCAACAAGAGAGCATATTGTATAATTTATTTCATATGCACGCATGGAAGTGCTAAATTATTTAATATTTTTCTTAAGGTGAAATGTTCATAGTCATGTCTTAATTGGCCCACCCACCAATTTCACTTTCATCTATATTTCAAGTTATAGCTTTATAGCCCCTCTTTGTCAAATTGCCTTCTTATGGAATTACTTTACCTAACTTTCCCACCATTTATTAAACCCGTTTCGCATAGTGGAACCTACATCTGTTTTTTTTCAATAAATAATTTGTCTTTTCATGTAGGCAACTTTAATTTGTGATATATACATATAAATGTGTGTGTGTGTGTATATATATATATATATTTTTTTGTGGGGGGGGGGGGGGGG